CCTGCACGGCTCAGCACGGCCGTCATCCAGCGCGAAACACGCAGAATTGTGAGAATCCGGGCCGTTAGGTAGTTTTGTGAATCAATTGAGAAGCTCCAGAGCTGTCTCACACTTCTTTTCTTTCAGTTGTTCCGATTCCGAAACCATATCGGTGAGTACTGGAGTCAGTATCCTGAATCATTGGTACACCTATAATAAGTGTTTATTTTCGGACTGTTTTAGTCTAGCGGGCCGCCGCCGCTGTGGAGTAATGTTAACAGAGTGGCAATCGGGAGAGTCGGGAGTTTTCCGGTGAGCCGGTGGTGTTTCGAGGCCGCGAGCGCCGGTCGTCTGATAAAATGTATACATTTCAAGTTCGCCATGCGCCCAAGCGAGGGGAAGAAAAAAATCGAATCCACGATATGGCTGTGTGCCTATATAAAACAGCACAAGACTTTAATAGGCATCCAATTTTGCTGGGTGATTTAAAGAAAAGTGTGCACTTTGCTCACGCGATCAGCATGGTTATATCTGGTGTTTTCTCCTAAATAAAAGCTTTGGGTTTATTTCTTGCAAGTGTAGAAATATGACAAACGTATTTTAATTTTCCTATAGTGTAGCCTAATGTTGACTAAAATATACTTTTGAAATATTAATTTTCACTTATAGCCTATAGTACATTTATAGGCTATATGGATTTTACATCATAGGAATAATTATATAAATCATTATTACATTATTATAATTGTTTGGGGTCCTAAAACACCATTGATAATGTAATGTAGACTGAGACTCAACTAAAAAGATGTTTGAGCCCTGTTTATTGTCCTAGTACAAATCAATGCTTTTTCTTTGTTCAATGAGCAGTTCGTTGAAGGTTGAAGCTCTTAATTTTGATCTCTCAAAGAGCACGAGATTGATGCATTTAACCTTAAAATGTACAAATTTTTCTAGCGGGGAGCATGCCCCGAACCCCCCTAGGAACAGAGGCCAACCAACATAGTTTTACAAATTTGTTAAGATCTTTAAGGTTGCCTATTTTTACTCCTAGCTGGGGGACTACCGATGAAAATTAGCTCTTTTAGCTAACTCGGGTACATTTTCATTGTTCTAATGTTGATTAATGTGTACACTGTCCCCCTTACAAATAAATAAATAAATAAAATGAAGAGAGAGAGGGAGCGTATATGGATGTAAAATGTGGGTGGTGGCGGTGGAGCTCATTGGGTGCTCAGCACCCCTAAAGCTCTGACCCTAGAATCGCCCCTGGTTCCTGGATCAACATATTTTGTTGATCCTGGATCAACATTTAATCAACCAATCACAAGCCTCTGATGTCATCCATGTGTGCCGACCCAAAAACCCATCACTCCATTTTGAATCTTCCCTCCCCACCTTTCTCGGCTGACCGACAAAAGGTAAGTTATTTTGTCTGTCCTCTTTCTTTCACCCTCTCCCTAACTAAAAATCTACCTTTGTAAATGTATTTATTCACGAAAAAATCCTGAAATATTACACTTAAATGGCATAATGTAATGCAACTCTGAACATACAACTGCCATGTGCCGGTGAGCTAATAGCTTAGCTTGCTAATAGCTTAGCTTGCTTTTCTCTATAACCCCTAAAAGTCTTCCTTCTCACATACTCTTACACACAAATGTAATATTCCTTACAATTTTATAATAATGTTTTAAAAATGGTAATAAATTACTGCTCTTTAAAACAGACTACTATGCTTTTAGTCAGAATAAAGTGTGCAAAAAGTACATGCGTTTTAAAAAAAACAGTAGAATATCTGCTTTTTGAATATGATTGTAATCAATATTTTGATAATTGCTATAAAGTCATCAGTTCAATATGGGGTAGATTCGCTAATGTTGATCCAGGACCATCATGATCAGTTCAATATGGGTAGATTCGCTAATGTTGATCCAGGATCATCATGATCAGTTCAATACGGGGTAGATTCACTAATGTTGATCCAAGGACCATCATGATCAGTTCAATACGGGGTAGATTCGCTAATGTTGATCCAGGACCATCATGATCAGTTCAATATGGGGTAGATTCGCTAATGTTGATCCAGGATCATCATGATCAGTTCAATACGGGGTAGATTCGCTAATGTTGATCCAGGACCATCATGATCAGTTCAATACGGGGTAGATTCGCTAATGTTGATCCAGGACCATCATGATCAGTTCAATACGGGGTAGATTCGCTAATGTTGAACCAGGACCATCATGATCAGTTCAATACGGGTAGATTCGCTAAAGTTGATCCAGGATCATCATGATCAGTTCAATACGGGGTAGATTCGCTAATGTTGATCCAGGACCATCATGATCAGTTCAATACGGTGTAGATTCGCTAATGTTAATCCAGGATCATCATGTTCAGTTCAATACGGGGTAGATTCGCTAATGTTGAACCAGGACCATCATGATCAGTTCAGTACGGGGTATATTCGCTAATGTTGATCCAGGATCATCATGAACAGTTCAATACGGGGTCGATTCACTAATGTTGATCCAGGATCATCATGAACAGTTCAATACGGGGTCGATTCACTAATGTTGATCCAGGATCATCATGAACAGTTCAATACGGGGTAGATTCGCTAATGTTGATCCAGGACCATCATGGACAGTTCAGTACGGGGTAGATTCGCTAATGTTGATCCAGGATCATCATGATCAGTTCAGTACGGGGTAGATTCGCTAATGTTGAACCAGGATCATCATGAACAGTTCAATACGGGGGTCGATTCACTAATGTTGATCCAGGTCCATCATGATCAGTTCAATGCAGGGTAGATTCGCTAATGTTGATCCAGGACCATCATGGACAGTTCAGTACGGGGTAGATTCGCTAATGTTGAACCAGGATCATCATGATCAGTTCAATACGGGGTAGATTCGCTAATGTTGATCCAGGACCATCATGATCAGTTCAATACGGGGTAGATTCGCTAAAGTTGATCCAGGATCATCATGATCAGTTCAATATGGGGTTGATTCGCTAATGTTGATCCAGGATCATCATGATCAGTTCAATACGGGGTAGATTCGCTAATGTTGATCCAGGACCATCATGATCAGTTCAATACGGGGTAGATTCGCTAATGTTGAACCAGGACCATCATGATCAGTTCAATACGGGGTAGATTCGCTAAAGTTGATCCAGGATCATCATGATCAGTTCAATACGGGGTAGATTCGCTAATGTTGATCCAGGACCATCATGATCAGTTCAATACGGTGTAGATTCGCTAATGTTAATCCAGGATCATCATGTTCAGTTCAATACGGGGTAGATTCGCTAATGTTGAACCAGGACCATCATGATCAGTTCAGTACGGGGTATATTCGCTAATGTTGATCCAGGATCATCATGTTCGGTTCAATACGGGGTAGATTCGCTAATGTTGATCCAGGACCATCATGATCAGTTCAATACGGGGTAGATTCGCTAATGTTGATCCAGGACCATCATGATCAGTTCAATACGGGGTCGATTCGCTAATGTTGATCCAGGATCATCATGTTCAGTTCAATACGGGGTAGATTCGCTAATGTTGATCCAAGAATATCATGATCATTTCAATATGGGGTAGATTTGCTAATGTTGTTCGAGGACCATTATTGTCAGTTCAATACAGGGTAGATTCACTAATGTTGATCCAGGACTATTCATGATTCCCATAAATTAGCATTTTAAGCAAATTCTCCAACATACCATTTCTACTGTAGTTAATCAAATTAAAAGTTAATTGAAATCTTGTTTGTTTGTTTGTTTTTTACTTATTACAGTGATGAATTAAATCTAAATCTAATATTTTGTATTGAAGGAAGTGCTACTGTTATTGTTATGAACTGCTCCGAGACTTGGAGATGAAGATCCAAATGCAGCTTTAATTGAGAATAGTCATATAGGCAGGGTCGAGAATCAGCAGACAGGGCAATGAAGAATACACAGTGGGAATCCAAAAAACAGGCAGAGGTGAGGGCAGGCAGCAATAATCAAAATCCAAGAACAATCCAAATTCAAAAACAGAAAAACAAACATAAGAAAACGCTCGGAAATGCATACACACAGTACAACAAGACTTCGCAAACAGTGAATGTGAACACAAGGTATATATAGACAGACTAACAGGATGAGACACAGGTGAATGCAATCAGTGAATGAGGTACAGGTGAATGCGATCAGTGATAATGAGTCCGGGCAGTGAGTTCTGGGAAATGTAGTTGTGAGTGAAACATGAACATCTGGTGTGGAGTGCCCTCTGGTGACTCTCAAGGGCACTCCACCTGGTGACCGTTACAGTAATGTAACTGTAAATATTAATACTTAGTTTAAGGATAAATAACTTAGCTCTGCTGCACTGTGCAATGAAGTCACATTTTAGTGTCTGGTAAATTTATTTGGATACTTTTGCCTAATTTATATAATTAATTAGCTTAACCCACGTTTCTATTTTCAATCTTGAAGGCATGTGTTATTTCCACTAACCCTTGATGTTAACAACACCGGCAGCCATTAAGTGTACTGCAGCTAGAAACTGCTCGCCCTCGCTCTTGTGCACACACTCCATAAGTGACTTCGTCTTGGGCAAAACAGTAACTGAACATAATTTATCGACATTATGTTGACAGATGATCGTCAATATAATTACACTTTTGTGATAGTTCATTTTGGATTTTCCCTTCAAAAAAGGGTGATAAATCATAAAATCAGTCTACAGGCTTACACAGCCAACCTAGGAAGTCAGGGAAGCCATAAAAAAAGTTCTTACATAGCCCCTTTTAATTGTAACAGAAATGCTTCCTAATGGACTTATTGTACTTACTGTATATTATTGTTTTCCAGCTTTTATCGTATGATTCAACATGACTGGTAAGGGTGCACATTCTGTATCACATATATACTTACCCTTTTAAATTGTGCTGATGACTTTTTATACATACCCTATTTACAGACCAACCTTGGGAGTCCTTACTGGCTGTGTTGGCCAAATAGCATTTCAGCTGCCCATTTAAAAGCTCTGTATGAGCCAGGCTACATACCAGATGTGGTGAGCTATTAGTGTATTTAATAATTGCAATAATTGGTGTATTTTAGAATTTAATGATTTTTTTCAGGTCCTAACTAAAATTATTATCAATAGGCAATGGATGCGCTCATGAGTATCACCTGCAAGGTATGAAATATATAATTTATGTATCTACCTGTTTGTACGATATATTATGTATGCATGTATCGTATTTATCTGCTTTTCCTTTTCCCCTTAAGAAATTCAATGATGTGTACAATATTTGTACACAATCCATGACTAAGATTCTGTCTGGATCCCAGAGGGTTAAAAGCCACTACTTCTGCAAGGTGCAGTAAATAATATTTACATACGTAAAATATGATCTTACATTAAAAAAATTCAATCAAAGACATTTGCCCATCTAAATATTAAAGCTGCAGATTCTAATGTTATTCTGCAATAGC